GCTGGTCCAGGGGAATGGTACCAGACTGCCAGAAGGTAGCCAGGACAGCATGCAAACCCAATTCCATAGGTTCACCACCAGCTTTAGCAGTTCAGCAGGGATAGCACATATGCCTTTCCCACCCTTCAGCTTAGATATAGCTAGGGTAGGAGGTTCCTCTCCGATGGGTGGATCTGGCAGAGGAATTGCAACACCTGCTGTGTCCAAACTAACTGCTGGAGGATCTACATGATACAGTGCTCAAAATACTCCGACCAATGTTCACGAACTTTATCCATATTACTGTGGATAAAGATAAAAATATATATTTTCCCAAACTAGTTAATAAACTAGCATAGGAAAATTAATTCTTGATCTGAAGCTGCCAGGTATGGCACGTACGTACATACCATGCCAAATGAGATTTTAATTTATTAATCAATGTTACATCAGAGATGGCTCCACAAGTACTATGCCACCAATAAGCCAATTATGAGTAATACCTGTCTCACCTCTTTACCCTTTACATTGATTTTCAATATTTTCTGTATCTAATATTGCTTTTGGTAATGTCAATAACACTATAATAATTATAAAGTCTATGATAAATATAGCATTAATATTGACAGTATTAGTAAAAAAAATGCATTTTTCTCAAAACCCAGGAAAGGTGAAATTAGGTGAGGCACAATATCTGCTAATTAACTCCTTTCTGGCTAAGCACTTGCAGAGCCATCTATGTGTAGAGACATTTCACAAAACAATACTATAGTAAACACATTTTCCCAGAAGCTTTGGGTTAAATATATTGAATATTTAACAAAATTGATGAATATAAAGAAGTGTCCAGACAAACAGACCTTGGAGAAGCCCAAGAGGTGACATCTGAGGCAAGTGAACTCCTGGCAAAACAACTGACTTGCATTTGCAGAATTATTGATTAGTCAGTAGTTTGCCCACTTCTGACATCACATCACTGGCTGTTGATCAGGTCTGCATGTCTGGCCATATCATTATACTCTTATATGTTATTAAGCATGAAAATGAAGAAGAACAGTCTGTGTTAATTGGTGAACCTTCTATGATTATATATATTCTTGAGAGCATGGACTAAATTAACTCACCAACTTCCAAGTAACATATACTTCTTGCAATGCCAAGAATGTCCACCTTGCTAGGAACACCTGTCATTATCTCAATCCAATGATCTCAGTTTATACCCCTTCTACCCCTTGGGCTTTGCACCATGGTGAATGGGTGGTTTTGCAGGAATTAGGCAAAATAATGCACTAAGGCCTCATATTGCCATAGATGGCTCATGCCTACATGTTCATATGAGCCATAGAGTATAGGCCTTTCAGTGTGTTAGCTGGCCCATAGGCATTCTGTTAAAATATTTTGCATAGAAATACACTACTGTATACAAAAGCTCACATAAAACCATTCATCTGATATTTTCCAGTTAAACTAGTTAAGTGTCTCATTCTGTAAATAATTAAAATAAAATATTTATGATAATACAGGGTATGATTAATTTTATACTGGAAATGCTAAAGACCAAAGTAGTCAGTGACTGTAGAAACGACATACATAATGACTACAGGTGTGATACACTCAAGGAACATAGATGCTACACAGTAAATGGACACTAAAAAGAATATACAAACTGCTTGTGACTTCTTGCTGGAGAACTTTTTTCCTTTGGAGGCAGTCTAGTACAATTATGACAGGTAAAGATATGCTAAAAACATTCAGAGAACAAAAATTTATTTCATGATAATTTACCAAATAAAAATAGTATCAATATTGTGTGTTCTGTAAAGGGTAAGCTCGTTCTGTATTCAAGAGAGGATTTTTAACTTAACAGAGTCATACAGATTTATTACAGTAGCTGCATTTTTTACATTTAAATTCAGTTATTGCATTTAACTGAAGTGTTACATTTCATCTTGGCAAATACCTTCAGTCTTCAACAAAGAAATTTGCATCATATAAAAAGTTACAGCAAACTTCACCCTCATTTGTTTAAAAGTGTATTCTGATTTGATTTCCTACATGCTAAATGTTTGAACTAACTCACAATTACATGCTAGAATAGGAATAGAAAAAAAAGAAATACAGGTATGTTTTCATTTGTTTGTACTCTTTTGATGGTGGACAGCTTCCTCCATTCTCTTTTTCCACTGCTTCTTAATCCTAATTTTCTTCATGGTGATGATAATGACTTTACACCTTATCACTCTTTAAGGAATATATGATTAACAACAATACACCATTATGTAAAGGTCAACTTAAAGTAAGAAATACTCTTGCAAGTCTTATAGACTTTTGTTTTTCATTAAAAATATAAATAAATAGATAAATGTTTTAAAATCTATTTGCAAGCTCTTAAAAGAATCTAAATAAAGAAAGAAGGACAAAGGAAAATGTAAAAGGTGCTTAGGCACTGAAGAAAAAGGTGATGGCTTGTCCAGTTAACCAATTGTTTTGTAATATTTACATCTGCAAAACTTGAGCAATATGGTTTCAGTAATTTCATTTTTACTAAGTTTATAAAAAAGAAACCACAAGAATTCATTTTTTTCCTTATTTGGATTTTTATTGCATTTTTTTTGCAGGGAATGGCCATAGTGAGTAAGCAAATCTGATGATAAAAAGATACAACAAGGTTATTCCCATATGAAGAAAATATGGCATCTAAAATCATTATCAAGTGGGGGAAGTTTTCATGTTCAAAAAGTCTTTTCTATTTTAAGATTTAGAAATAAAACTCCTTTCTTGAGCAGACGAGGCAATGTGGCCAAAAAAAAACCAGTGTGAATAATTCCACTGGCCTTATTATTCTTTTCCCCTTTTGCCTTGTGCTAAAAGAACTTCCTTTTCTACTTGTATTCATTTCCCATTCACTTGTTCTGTTTTGGCTTCATCTTCGGCTGGCTTTGAAGGGTCGAGTCCAAACTTGGTCATCTGAACTGCTATATCAAACAAATAATCATAGCATTCAGCCCTGTTGATGTAGAGAACATGGTAATTACTTATAAATAAAATCAATAACACAAAAAGGGAGAGTGACAAGGCTTGGTTAAACAGAAAAGGTCAGAGAGAAAGGGAGGGAGGGAAATGACAAGAAGGAAGAGGATAAGGAGTAAGAAGATAAGAGGAGGGGATCAGAAGAAGACAGATGATAATAATAATAATGGTAATAATAATGGTAATAATATTAATAATATTAATAATAATAATAATAATAATAATAATAATAAACAATGATGAGCAAGAAGTTAGTAGGGGCAGTGTGAGTGGCTGAGGTGAAGAGAGGCAGTGAGAGAGAGAGCAATGACAGAAAGGGAAAGGCAGTGAGAGAGAGATCAATGATGGAGAGCGAAAGGCAGTGAGAGAGAGAGCAATGACGGAGAGGGAAAGGCAGTGAGAAATAGAGAAAAAGGAAAAGCAATGAGGAAGAGCAGAGAGAGGGCAATAAAGGAAGGCAAGGAGAGGGAATATTAAACAGATATTCAGTGAAGAAATATTTAATGAAACATTTTTTTCTGAATCCTAAAGTTAAGAAAACCAGAAAAATGTTACTTACATGGTCTTGGCCTTTTCCCATGTATCACCCCACACATAAACACCATGTCGTCTAACCAACACAGCATTTGTATCAGGGTAAAGCTCCAATGCCTGCATTTGGGGAAAAACAACAACATAATCAAAATAAAATCAATCATAATAACAACCAATGACAATGTTATTACAGGGTAATTTTTTGGTAACTTAAAGCAATCTGCCTAGGAAGATACACTTGACTAACTTATGTTTCAGAGTAACTACATAACAAGAAGGCAAACCTCTAATTGCACAAGTAGCACTTGCAGTTGTTAGTGTATGACTGAATTTTAGGGCATGTAGCAAGCCTTTCCTTATTTCAAATTTCAAGATTTATGATATGAAATTGGAATATAAACAGGATAATAAATAGACAGTAACAAACATGCAATAAATATGTAAATCTATGAATATACACTTGTACACAGTATCATCTCACCTGTGCCATACTATCTGCCAAATCTGCTTCAAAAGGTGTGTTGTCGATAATGGGCACGACCACCTCCTCATCATACCTCATCTGCCTGTCTTCTGAGGCACACTTAATACCCTGCAGCAAACATATTACTTTTCAGAAAGTCTCAAGCAATGAAACACAAACTAAAAAAAACATGAGCAAAAAGAAAAGCTTGATGTCTCAATTGATCAGGATCATAATGAACAATAAGAATGAAAAAAATTAGTGTGTGAGCATGTGCAACTGTTGGGGTATAAACTTGTGGGTAATGAAATTTTGGGGATCCTATCATTATTTTCTGAATGTTCATTTATTTTTTGGTAAGATCTTGTTCTGCCTGTTGGTATGTCTCTGCCACATACTTACTTTAATCATTTCCAAATGGGTGACCTTGAACTCTGACCCAGCATAGGCTAGTGTCGCCATCACTGCTGCCTTTGAATGACTGTGTATGACAGCCCCAGCTCCTCGCACTGGTAATAGTAAAACATATGTTACTGAAAGCTTCAGTTTTCATAATAACAAATAGTTGTATACACCAGTCATGCCAATAACAATTTTTAACATATTACTATCATTACTACTACAACTACTTTTACTACTGTTACTAATACTACTATTACTACTTTTACTACTACTACTATTACTACTAGTACATATACTACTACTACTACTACTACTTTTACTACTGTTACTAATACTACTATTACTACTAGTACATATACTACTACTACTATTACTACTTTTACTACTGTTACTAATACTACTATTACTACTTTTACTACTGTTACTAATACTACTATTACTACTTTTACTACTGTTACTAATACTACTATTACTACTTTTACTACTGTTACTAATACTACTATTACTACTAGTACATATACTACTACTACTATTACTACTAGTACATATACTACTACTACTATTACTACTTTTACTACTACTACTATTACTACTTTTACTACTGTTACTAATACTACTATTACTACTTTTACTACTGTTACTAATACTACTATTACTACTTTTACTACTGTTACTAATACTACTATTACTACTTTTACTACTGTTACTAATACTACTATTACTACTTTTACTACTGTTACTAATACTACTATTACTACTAGTACATATACTACTACTACTATTACTACTAGTACATATACTACTACTACTATTACTACTAGTACATATACTACTACTACTATTACTACTAGTACATATACTACTACTACTATTACTACTAGTACATATACTACTACTACTAGTACTACTACTAATACAACTACTACTACTACTACTACTACTACTACTACTACTACTACTACTACTACTACTACTACTACTACTACTACTACTACTACTACTACTACTACTACTACTACTACTACTACTACTACTACTACTACTACTACTACTACTACTACTACTACTACTACTACTACTACTACTACTACTACTACTACTACTACTACTACTACTACTACTACTACTACTACTACTACTACTACTACTACTACTACTACTACTACTACTACTACTACTACTACTACTACTACTACTACTACTACTACTACTACTACTACTACTACTACTACTACTACTACTACTACTACTACTACTACTACTACTACTACTACTACTACTACTACTACTACTACTACTACTACTACTACTACTACTACTACTACTACTACTACTACTACTACTACTACTACTACTACTACTACTACTACTACTACTACTACTACTACTACTACTACTACTACTACTACTACTACTACTACTACTACTACTACTACTACTACTACTACTACTACTACTACTACTACTACTACTACTACTACTACTACTACTACTACTACTACTACTACTACTACTACTACTACTACTACTACTACTACTACTACTACTACTACTACTACTACTACTACTACTACTACTACTACTACTACTACTACTACTACTACTACTACTACTACTACTACTACTACTACTACTACTACTACTACTACTACTACTACTACTACTACTACTACTACTACTACTACTACTACTACTACTACTACTACTACTACTACTACTACTACTACTACTACTACTACTACTACTACTACTACTACTACTACTACTACTACTACTACTACTACTACTACTACTACTACTACTACTACTACTACTACTACTACTACTACTACTACTACTACTACTACTACTACTACTACTACTACTACTACTACTACTACTACTACTACTACTACTACTACTACTACTACTACTACTACTACTACTACTACTACTACTACTACTACTACTACTACTACTACTACTACTACTACTACTACTACTACTACTACTACTACTACTACTACTACTACTACTACTACTACTACTACTACTACTACTACTACTACTACTACTACTACTACTACTACTACTACTACTACTACTACTACTACTACTACTACTACTACTACTACTACTACTACTACTACTACTACTACTACTACTACTACTACTACTACTACTACTACTACTACTACTACTACTACTACTACTACTACTACTACTACTACTACTACTACTACTACTACTACTACTACTACTACTACTACTACTACTACTACTACTACTACTACTACTACTACTACTACTACTACTACTACTACTACTACTACTACTACTACTACTACTACTACTACTACTACTACTACTACTACTACTACTACTACTACTACTACTACTACTACAACTACTTTTACTACTGTTACTAATACTACTATTACTACTTTTACTACTACTACTATTACTACTAGTACATACTACTACTACTACTACTAACAAAACACATCTAAACATCATTAAACTATTCCTAACTCTGCGCTCTTAACCCCCTGACACTGGATAACATTTATACATATCATGGCAGTTTCAATGTTTCCACCTAGCATACAGAGGTTGGTTCTTTGATGTTTTGAAATTGGCATGAGCTGTATAGCAGTCACTCAGCTGTATGATATAAAGGTAAAGCATCACTCCCACATACTTCGGTAAGCCAGCATAAAAAGTGGGGTGCACTGGCTCTTCCTTAGCTGCTTATCTGCTGGAACTTCCACTTCCTCACCCGCTGCATTGAGGACAAACAAATCCTCTGGCTTTAAACGTTCCTTCTGAACACCGGAGGGAGCCACAAAAATTTTCTCCCTTTAATGAGAAGTTAAAAACTTTTACTCACCCTAGAAATAGTGTACTATGATTGAAAGATCTAACACCAAATGAATGATTATGTATACTCAATCTTAGCTATTAGCAAGCAACCTGATAAGTTAAGATATATTATATATATATATATATATATATATATATATATATATATATATATATATATATATATATATATATACATATATATATATATATATATACATATATATATATATATACATATATATATATAT